CACTAACACACTCAGGCTAACACACACTGACACTAACACACACTGACGCTAACACACACTCAGGCTAACACACACTGACACTAACACACACTGACGCTAACACACACTCAGGCTAACACACACTGACACTAACACACACTCAGGCTAAAACACACTCAGACTAACACACACTCAGGCTAACACACACTGACACTAACACACACTCAGGCTAACACACACTCAGGCTAACACACACTGACACTAACACACTCAGACTAACACACACTCAGGCTAACACACACTGATGCTAACACACACTGACGTTAACACATACTCAGGCTAACACACACTGACACTAACACACTCAGACTAACACACACTCAGGCTAACACACACTGACACTAACACACACTCAGGCTAACACACACTCAGGCTAACACACACTGACACTAACACACACTGACACTAACACACACTTAGGCTAACACACACTGATGCTAACACACACTCAGGCTAACACACACTGACGCTAACACACACTCAGACTAACACACACTCAGGCTAACACACACTGACACTAACACACACTCAGGCTAACACACACTCAGGCTAACACACACTCAGGCTAACACACACTGACACTAACACACACTCAGGCTAACACACACTCAGGCTAACACACACACAGGCTAACACAGAGAGCTGTTAGCTAGCAGTTTTTATTTTAGCACATGAACAGTTCAGGACTCTCAGCTGCTCCACTGAACTACATCTCCCATCATGCCCTGCAGCTTTAGGGCTACATCAACAGCAAACATTGTTTACACATGTGAACAGGAAGCTGACATCATCAGGACATCTAGAACCTGGACTCTTGAGTTCTGATGGTCCAGAACCTGAGAGTTAGAAGCTTTTTGTTTTTTATTGCTACAAAGTGAAACAAGTACAAAAATCTGTTTAGAAAAATAAACTTTAATCTCAGGTTTGGGTTGAACCTAACATTAACCTGAGAAAACAGGAAGCTGCATCAAACAGGTCCCATACTGTACCAACTAACACAACCTGGTACCAGAAGAACCTGACTGCTGTTTGTGGATCACACCCAACAGAACCAAACCAAACACAACAGAACTCAGTTTTTATCAACAGGACACTTCTGACCCAAACTAGACCAGAACAGGGTCAGAACGAGTACAGGTCAGAACATGAAACTCCAAGTGGACCAAGACCCACTCACCGGTTCTTCCAGGGCCCGACTCCAAACAAAAGATCCAGACTGAGCTGAGGACTCTTAGACCTGATTCTGTTGGGTTTACTTCATTTATTTAGAAGGGACAGTGCACATTAACTGACATTTCTGTAAATGTGCCAGAGTTAGCCAAAGGCTATTTTACTTCTGCTGGACCTAAGGGACTATGTTGGACCTGGTTTGGTTGGACCTGATGGACTCTGTTGGACCTGGTTTTGTTGGACCTGTTGGATACTGTTGGACCTGGTTTTGTTGGACCTGATGGACTCTGTTGGACCTGGTTTTGTTGGACCTG